AGCCCTGCCCCACGTCCGTCTGCAGCCAGCCCCATGTCCACTGGTGCCCTGCAGTTCCCAGGGCAGTAACCCTGCACACCTGCTTCAATGAGGGGGGGCAGGGAGCAGCTGGGACCCACACATGTGCACACCCTAGGGTGACCAGACAGCAAGTGTGAAAAATCGGGACGGGGGTGGGGGGGTAATAGGAGCCTATATAAGAAAAAGACCCAAAAATCGAGACTGTCCCTATAAAATCGGGACATCTGGTCACCCTAGCACACCCCCAGGGAGTGGCGGGGACCCACACATGTGAAACGGAGCTCATTTCTAGTTCAGGCCCATCTTTTTTAAAAAGAACTTTAGGTAAGGTTAACATACATCCGTATTTTCCCAGAGATGTCAGGCTTTTTGGTTCTTAAATCGCCATCTGGGCGGAGATTTTAAAATTTAAAAATTCCTCCCGGGAAAATACGGAAGTATGGTAACCCTATTGGTACAAAAAATACATACTGTGGCACATCCCTTAAATCAGAACTTTTTATAGGGAACCGGTTGTTAAGATTTTAGCAGCTCATCACTGGCTGCCCCCCTCAGCAGCAGGGTCACGGGCTTCCCCCACCCTAGCAGCAGGCCCCGGGGTGCCCCCACCCCAGCAGCAGCAGTGACCACCAGAACATCCATCCCAGAGCAGCAGCGTCCGCTGGAGCACCCCCCTCCCCCAGCACCTAACATTTAGTCACGGGTATTTTTAGTAAAAGTCATGGACAAGACACTGGTCGTGACATTTTGTTTATTCCCCAGGACCTGTCCATGACTTTTACTAAAAATACCCGTGACTAAATAGTAGCCTTAATCATGAGTTCATCTGCATTCAAAAGGAAATTGTCACAATCTCATGGCCAAGCACAGAAGACAAAATAAGCACTCTTGGCCACTACTGCTATATGGACATCCAGAAACAGGTGAAAATCTAATAAGCATCTTATGTTGTGAACCTAAGTCACATAAGGCAGGCAAACTTCCTCAACTGAAAGTGCTAATGATATCGCCTCTGCCATTTCTTCTATTTGTTTCCCTAGGTCTTTCAGGATCACTTTATTTTTATCTGAATTGAGAGCCCACATAAAACGATTACCTATCTGTAACGGTTGTTCTTCAAGATGCAATGCAGCTGTGTGTTCAATTTAGGCGGCGCACGCCTAGCACACTGGAGCCAGAGAACTTTGCCTAGCAGTACCTGTAGGGGAGGCGCTTATGCCCTGCGGCCCAACCCCATCCCTAGGACAGCACCACCCCGAACTCCCTCAGTGGCTTTGTACCGAACATCAGAAGTACAGACGCTGATGCAGTGAGGGTGGAGGGTGAGTTGTGGAATACACGTCTGCATCACATCTCAAACAACAGTTACAAGAAGGTAATGATTTTTTCTTCTTTGAGTAGATGCAACCATGTTTTCTACTTAGGTGACTCATAAGTAGTACTCATAGTAGGAGAGAGGTTGGAGTCTATTTAAACAAGGACTACAAGATTGCCTTCCGAAAGTCTGAATCTGATCTGGATGCAGCAGTAATGGCATAGTGGTTTATAACAGTATGCACAGATGACCAAGTGGCAGCCCTACAAACGTCCAATATAGGAATGTCACTTAGAAATGCCATCAATGTTGCCAGGGTCTTGTGGAATGAGCATGTATCCTTTGAGGCAGAGTATACAGGAAGTTATCCACCCGGAAATCACCTGTGAACAGACTGCTTAATCCTTAATTTGGTCTGCATATGAAATAAACAAACAAGGTAAGGAGCGGATATGTTTGGTCCTATTGAGATTCAGTCCTATTTTCTCCTATTGAGACAAAGCTAAACATCGGTTGATGTCCAGTGTGTGAAGATGTTGTTCCTCTGTGAGGTTTCAGAGTAGCAGCCGTGTTAGTCTGTATCCGCAAAAAGAACAAGAGTACTTGTGGCACCTTAGAGACTAACACATTTATTTGAGCATGTTGTTCCTCTGGGAGTGAATGCTGCTTAGGGAAGAACACTGGTAAATATACAGCTTGGTTCAGGTGAAACTGGGAAACAACTTTGGATAAACACTTAAAGTAACCCTGCAGCCATATCCTATCTTTAGAAAATTGAGTGTAATGGGGTTCCACCATCAAAGACTACAACTCACCCACCCTCCTGGTGGATGTTATCACCACAAGGAAAGCAGTTTTCTGACACAGAAGGGAGAAAGAAGAAGTTACTAGATGCTCGAATGGAGGCCCCAAAGGAATAGCGAAGACAGTATTAAGGTCTCACAAAGAAATCAGCTCTTTAACCAATGTGTAGAGACAAGTGACTCCTTTTAAGAACCTCACTGCCATGGGGTTTGAAACCATCGACTTTTCCGTGGGCAGATGAAACACCCAAGTCATCGCCAGGTGGACTTTCAATGAACGAAGCGCAAGACCAGAAGACTGAAGGTGTAACAGGTACTCCAAAATGCTCTGGATACAAGACAACTTCAGATGAACTCCACAGGCTAATGACCAAATCCAGAACTGATTCCATTTCGACAAACAGAACACTTTGGTGGAGGGCTCCCTACTATTGAGCAAGACTTCCCAACACCATCTCCAAACATAATTCCTCCTCCTCCTCCTCATCTAACCATGCAGTATCCATGCTGTGAGATGCAGGGAGCTGAATGCAAAACCCGACATGATGCTAAGTCAGGAGGTCGGGATGAAAAGGAACAGATACAAGAGGGCAAACCATTAACATGAAGGTTGGAGAACCAACAACATTGCCTCAGCCATGCTGAAGCAATGAGAATGAGCTTGGCATGGTCCAACTTCAGCTTGAGAATGACCTGCAGGATGATCAGAATTGGAGGAAAACCATACAACAGTGCCAATTCCCAGCTCAGGTGAAAAGCATCAGTGAAGGAGCCCAGACTGAGACCCCACCCCTGGGATTAAAAGATATGACATTTCTTGTCATTTCTAATGGCAAGCAGTTTGATTGTTGGGATGCCCAAAAAATGGACTGCAGGATGCTAGGCTTCAGGGACCATTCGTGATTCAAAGAGAAATTTCTGCTGAGGTGATCCACCAGGTGATTCTGGATCCCAGGTAAGAGAATTGGCCAGGGGGGGTAACGTTTTCCCCAATGCAAAACTGTCAGAGCCTGATCACCTCCTGACACAGCACCCTGAAGATTGCCAAGTCCCTCCTGTCTGTTCACATAATATATCATGGTGGTATAATCGGTAAGGATGTGCACTGACAAGTCTCTAATGTGATCTCAAAGGGCCTGACGGGCACTGTAGATGCCACAAAGCTCCAGAACATTTATATGCATGGAAACTTCCTGTTCTGACCACAGGCTTTGAACTTTCAGCAACCCTAGATGTGCTCCTCAACCTATTAAGCAGGCATCGGTGACAACATTCCCGGTTG